TGGTATCTAATTATGTTTCTGAGTCACGCTCTGCTATATAAAATTAACTTAAAATTGTGGTTGGGTAAATAATTTCTAAGAACACCTTAGCAGGAGTTTCTGCTTCAATTGAAAAGATGATTTGGAAGTTTGCATGGAAAAACAAAAGATATAGAATAATCCAAAAGGTCTTGGAGAAGGGAAAGTTGGAAGACTCCCCTTCCCCATTTTAAAATATTTTATAAAACTATAGTAAGCAAGATAGGTGTCTTCTCACACTTGGGTAGAAATATAGATCAATGGAATATAATTACACAGTTNACACAGACTGGGAGGAAAGATTTGCCAACCATGTTTCTGATAAAAGAGTTTTATCTAGAAAGTATAAAAAACTCTTGTGATTCAATAAGAAGCATAGAACCCATTTTTTTAAAATAGGAAAAAATATTTGTATAGACATTCTACCAAAGAAGATTGGACATGAGAAGATGCTTAACATCATTTAGTCATTACCTAAATGCAAATTAAAAATATGAGACTGCATTTCACACTCNTTAACATCATTTAGTCATTACCTAAATGCAAATTAAAAATATGAGACTGCATTTCACACTCTTTAGGATGGCTATAGTAAAAAAGATGTGAATGCATGTTGGTTAGGGTGTGGAGAAATCAGGACCAATTACACACTGCCCGTGGCAAAGTCAAGTGATGTAGCTGATTTGGAAAACAGTCTGGCCATTCCTTGAACCATTCAACATAAATTTGTCGCATGAAACAGCAGTTCCACTCCTACGTATTTACATAAGAGAAATAAAAACATACATCCATGCAAAAAAAAAAATGGCACCCAAGTGTTTCCAGCAGTATTATGCATAATAAGCAAGTGGAAACAGCCCAAATGCCCATCAATGAATGGGTAAACCAACTGCGGTATCAACATACAACCAACCATTCAGACATAAAAAGGAATGAAGCACCGGTGCATACTACAACGTGGATGGACTTTGAAAGCATTATGCTAAGTGAAAGAAGTCATGCCCAAAAGATCACATATTAAAGGAGTTCATTTATANCATTATGCTAAGTGAAAGAAGTCATGCCCAAAAGATCACATATTAAAGGAGTTCATTTATAGGAAATGCCTTCAAAAGACAGGTCTTATAAAGACAGAACGTGGATTAGCAAGGCTGAGGGTGGGAATACATAGCACCTGAAAATGAACAGAAACAATTTTCGGGAGGGGATGGAAATGTTCTAAAATCAGATTTTTGCTGATGGTTTCACAAGTCCATCAATATACTAAAAATCATCCAATTTTACAATTCAATATGTCCATTGTAGGGTGTATAAATTATACCTCAGGAAAGCTCTAAATATTGCCACTTGAGTTAACAAAGGAATTCGGTAAAGAATCAAAGAGATGGTAGATTAGTCTGCATTGCCACTTAATCAGTGATGTAACTATCTTATGAAAATTGTGAATTCATTACAAATCCTTAGGACATTTTCCTAGAGTTGATTGGGGAATTTCCCTTGAGCACAGCCCCCAAATGCATTGGAGATCACTCAGATTTTGTTTGGTGATGGTGAACCTAGCCATTGTGAGCTCCAGGATTTGGGACAGTGCTCTGATTTTGTCCA